CAAGAGCCATTTTGACACTTTCCTCCAAATAAAAGACATAATTTACATACATTTTTAACTCCGCCGCTATCGTTTACAACGACGACATCAAGCGGAGAGTTCTTTCTTCCATGCCAGCATCTGAGGAAGTTTCTTCCAATCCTTCCGAAGCCATTAATGGCCACCTTAAGCTTCGCCACTGTCTCTCCTCTCACTGCTCCCCTTCCATTAACCTGAAGCAGAGAAGTTGCCATCTCAGTTCAAGCAGAGAGCTTTCACTGCAAAATCTATTTTTTTAAAATTTTTAAGTTAAAATTAATAATATTTTTACTAAAATTTGAAAATTAGAGATAAGGGGCAGAAAAAAAGGCTGGTTCTTCCTCTGATTCGAAGGTTATGAGTATTCGATGATATGTGAATCTATCTCTTCCCAAAAACAGTTTTTGGAGTTAGGGTTGAGCTAAAACTCCGATCTTTAATTGAAATTCTAAATAAAAAACATATTTTTAGATGAATTGGTATGAATTCGAGCAGAGGAGAAGTTATTTTGAATCATCCTTGAATAGAAGCAGTGAGTTAAAATTAGATGGATTGTAAAGTTTATTACTAACAAGAGTGATTGGACTGGTGATCGATCTCTGCTCACCTTGGTGGCCAGCTGTGCTGCAACAAGCTCTGAGAAGGAGAGCTGATCTCTTGCTGGGCTGGGGAACACCATGTATGAGCTGGATCGAAGCCCACTGAACTCTGCAACATCGAGCCTCTGCTGAAGAGAAGAAGAAGTGGTTAGAGGAGAAGACGGAGGATGAAGAAGAAGGGAGAGGGTACCTTGGAGCGAAGGCTGGGGGTTGAGGGAAACCTTGAAGAGGCGAGAGCTGAATGGGTAGCCATTGTTGCAGGCTGAACACAGAGGAGAGAGAGTTGAATCGTATGTGTTTGATGGCGGACTCTGGTGATTGTGGGAACGGGGAGAGGAGAATTTTGCCTGTAGGGGAGGGAGAAGGGAGAGTTCAAGATAGCTGATTTAAGGATAGCATTTGCTCTTTGCTGAGGACCACACATTTCTTACTTTTTATGTTTGTTCTAATTAGGGGAATTTACAAAAAACCATAAAATTCTAATGTATTTATATAAGTACCATCTAAATTTTGTTTTTATAATTGTGTCAATCAAATCTTTCATGTATCATTATTTTAAGTTTTAAAAAGTGAATTACATAGTTTTTTACATAAATATGGTGATATATATAT